CAGCCATAGCTGAGGGACATAATCCGTTGACACGGTTTGAGGTTACCTACTCACTTATGGCCTTTCTGGTGAAGGATAATGTCTTACCCGGAACTCTCCTGCAAATTGCAAAGAGAGATTGTAGGGAGCCTGGGTATCGAGTGGCCCAAAGTATAGAAGATAACGAGCAATGGGCTGTGAAACGGCTCCATTCCCAAAGCCCTGACCGAGCTAAGGTTGCATCAATTATACAGCAGTGTTGCTGTGTGCACTTCTCGAATTCTGATTCAGTTGCAGCTGGAATACGACACACTGAACATTTTCAGGTGGTGTTTGACCAGTTATACTGGACATACTAAATTATTGACTGCCTTCAACCCCAATTATACATGGCAATCAGCAAGTCAGCCCTTTTCCGTGGCAACTGGGCCATTTCCCAAGTGGTTAGTACCGCTATAATCATGGAAGGATCAACAGAGCGGGAAGCATTACCTGAGGATGATGACTCACCAAATTTTGGGGAGCAGGCATCGGGACAACAGCTTCTGGGGGCTTTGAAGGAGTACTTCCTGCCAGAAGAAGCGTTGCAGGAAGGCATTTCCCCTGATATGCGCTTTAGGGTTTACACAGAAGAAGAAGGACTTCGTATCTGGGATGAGGCCAATACTGATCTCCCATTATTTGTGCCTTGGTCAGTTGTAAGGCTTAATGAGGACTTTGAAGATAAAATACAGGCAGTATATGAGGAACACATACCTGGGTTCTCCCGCGATATGCCTGCCTTTAGAAGATACTGTCGAGATGCAATGTGCCAGTTGTTGGAGCTTCGCTTCCGCATATATTATACGACGAGTATCTGTCGAGATGTCTATGGCGTGGAAAGACGGCGGTTCCGAGTCCATTGTACCACTGGACAATACGAGATTCACGATTGGGAGTTGGCTGTTAAGTACATAGTGACTCCAGACCAGACCACCTACAATGTGAGGAGTGGAGCATTCCTCAGATACTAGCTCGCCAGGCAACCATGAGGGATTTGTCTGAGGCTAGCATTTTTGTAAATGCTGTCCATATCCCTAAGGGGAAGCCAGCTGAAAAAAAACATGATCAGTTGTGCTATGGAGGTCTCAAAACAGTTGAGCATACCTCAATGCAACCCAAGGATTTTACTCGCTGGTTGCCAAAACCAGTTGTCATTGAAGCGCTCATCAATGGTCAACCAGTGAAGGCTCTCATCGATAGCAGGTCACTTGCAGATTTTATGTCAACAGCCTTGGTTGATCAGCTTCAGGTCCTTAAGGAACCACTGGTAAAACCACTGACCCTTCAGTTGGCTGTACATGGATCACGGTCCAAGATCAACATTTCCGCAATGGCTCAGTTTACCTACCAGGGTATAAGTTGTTCTCGCCGTTTTGACGTGGCTAACCTTGATTCCTATGACTTGATATTGGGAACTCCATTTATTTTTCAACACCAAGTTATGCTTGGGTTGAATCCGACACAAGTTAACATCGGGTCAAACCTACCACTTCCCCTCGAGGGGACACAGTCATCTTACTGCACTCCACGGCAGCAGAAATCTTTGAGGATGAGTTGGAAAGGTTACGGGTGGACTTACGTGCTGAAGCAGCTGACCTTGATCCTGATACAGCATCAACACGACTACCCCCATTGCGGGCAGTCAATCATACTATCCCTCTGATAGATGAGGTGAAGGTTTACTCATGGCGACCATCCAAGTGCCCTGAAGCCATGCATCAGCTGTGGCGTGATAAGAAGAATGCCTACTTACGAAATGGGCGGTGGAGAGTGGCGACGGGCACAAATGCATGTCCAATGCTAATTATTCCGAAACCACCAAAGGCTGATGGAGCCTTGTGAATATGCACGGTGGTTGACAAGCGTCAGCAAAATGCTAATACATATAAATTAGCTACACCTTTGCCAGATATTGAGGCGATCCTGCGGAATGTGGTGCATCATAAATATTGTAGCCTCATTGATGGCAAAGACACATATGAGCAAATCCGAGTGGTACCTGAACACATTTGCCGAACATTGTTCACCTCTCCTGATGGTACCATGGAAAGTTTGACATTGCAGATTGGTGACTGTAATGGACCATCCACATACCAGACTCTGATGAACCACATTTTTGCATCATACATCAGGGTGTTTATGGATGTATACCTCGACGACATTGTGGTATATTCGGATTCCATTGAAGATCATGTCAAGCACCTCCGAGTCATTTTCAAGGTGCTCCGTCGAGAGAAATTATACCTAGCAGTCAACAAGATGCATTTGTTCGCTTCGGAACTAAACATATTGGGGCATGTAGTAAATGATAAAGGAGTAAAGATGGACCCACATAAGGTGAACACAGTAGCCAACTGGAAGGTTCCAACCAATAAGGCCCTCTTGGCTGGTTTTCTGGGGGCAGTTGGCTATCTGGCTAATAACTGCGAGGGCATTCGAATTCCAATGGCCAATCTTGCTGGGCTTACTGGTGTCAACAGGGTGTGGCGATGGGGAGCAACGGAACAATGTGCATTTGATGATGTAAAGTGAATTGTTCAGCTTCATCGAGATCGATATTGAATTGCTTTGGACTACTCACCGGGTCATTCAACTATCAACTTAGTTACAGATGCATGCTTGACAGGTGCCAGTGGTATCCTGAGTCAAGGCGCAGATATCAAAACAGCAGCTGTGGTGTCCTTCTGGTCTGGGAAGTTCACTTCGGCTCAATGATCTGGGAGAAGAACACAATGTACCCTGGCGTCCAGGATTTTGCAGAGCGAATGAAATTGGCAATTATGACTGCCCACAACGAAATCCTCATCACTAGGGTGAAGCAGACAAGGCAGGCCAATCGACACAGGTGGGCTGTTGATTTCAGAGTCAATGATCTCGCATTCAAGATCATTCGTGAACTTGAGCCGGGGGCCACTTATGAGCTGGAACTGTCTCCCGAGTTAAAGAGACAAGGGATTAACCTGTCATTTCATGCATCCTTGTTGCATATCCACATCCCGAATGACGATCGTCTATTTCCTGGCAGGCAGCTCAAACAGATTCCGGGGTTTGGCCAATCATCTAGGGACTGGATCGTGGATAAGATTGTGGCTCACACTGGGAAAGACGCTGATGCCTTGTTTGAGGTCGTGTGGAATACCGGGCAAAATACTTGGCTTCCATATAGAGACATGCAGAACTTGCTGCCCTTGCAGGCATACCTGGAGGCTGTTGGTGTTGCAAATGTACGATCATTGAAAACGGGGTCCAGGTGATCTATCGATTCCACAAGGATGGGTCTGCGGGCTAAGGAGAACGATCGGTTGTCAGTGTCTCACCTGTCAAGCGTGCAATGTTTACCGTGTATTTATGTTGGATCAGCTACACCTATTGATGTTCCTTCCTCCTCGGGCTGTCGCACCATGTCTACCGAGGATGGCCAGACACAGATGGCTTCAGAGTTCTTCACTGCAACTTTAAATGCTGTATGCGATAGCGCTCTGAAAGGGGTGCAGATCGTGTGGGCATTACAAAGGGAAGAGGTCGAGAGGGCTCACCAACGCATTATTGAAATGCAGGAGCAACAAAGGCATATGATGACTGATAATGCCACTATGCCTCGCACTAGGGGCCGCACGCGCATGTGGAGGGAGCAGAATCGGTCAGTGGCATTGGTGGACAGATTAGAGGCACATGGGATGGCTCCACGGCAGCGTGACAGGGAACAGGGTAGTAGTCGTAGCCGCCATGGAAAACGAAAGAAACAGAGGGTTGGTTCTTCTACTGAGGGGTCACTTCTTCAGCGGATTGAACCTATTGCCGCGCCACAGGAAAGGATGGCGCAAGCTAGTAGTATTGCTACTATGGCTAGCAAACATTGTATGGCACAGGAAGCCCCAATGTGGGTTGGAAGGGGTCAGGATGCAACCATGTCGATGGAAACGGATATTGGGAGTGGTGGGCAGGATTGGAGTGACGAACTTGACGAGTTGGAGCAAGGGGTTATGGAACTACACAGTTGAGTCAGTCCGCCGAGAGTTGCACATTGCCTTGCTGGCAGTGTGGGAGGGCGGGTGTAACGGTAGCGGACTTGGGTTAGGGAGGACTTGGCATCGGGCTGGTGGGCCCGTATGACCGGAGGTGTCTTAGAATACAATTGTGTTTGTTTCACGGGGTTTTTGACTTGTTGCCCGGGGCTCTACTACTATTATCATAAATAGGTAGATATCTTGTATGGTTACAATAGTCTCTTTCGAATAGGAACCTAGTCCTACTCATTTTGTACCCTTTTGCAAGAGCTCTCTGAGGGACTACACTACATCTTCATAGCGGAACCCTTACAATATCCTGGGCCCTCTAGATGCTTGAAAATCCCTGCCCCAATCCATTCCTGAGTCTGTTTGACATCTGGTTTATTATATCCCTTCCATTTATCCCTATTCTGTTATGGTCCTTATCCTTAGTATGATCAACTTTGCATTGTTTCTTGTTCCTCCTTTTTGTCTTTTTGTCTTGCCAGATTAGTAGTACAATTATTATTATTTCTATATACATAGTCTAGGATCTGTTTTTACTTACAATCCAATTAGAAAATCAACTTAGCACTGACTTAGTATTCTACCTATTTACCAGTTCAATACCTGCCTGTTTCTGTTCATTTGCACCAGTATATTCCCAGAGCCCACAGACTTCTGGACTCCATCACTTTGTGTATTCCTGGACTCACCCAAGTTTCCCATACCCTTCCATCTGAAATTGGATCTGACAATTGTGTGAGGGTGCAGCACATAAGCTGAAACCAAGTCCCACCTGTTCCTGGAACATCCATGGGTTTTCCCTAGATACCTGCCTATAAGTGCTGAGCTTAACAGATGGAGGGTGATCATGTTAGATTATGTAATACCAACCACTATTCCAACTATCCTATCTAGCAGTGTGTATATAATCTATAGGAACACTTAAAGGTTACATCCTTAAAGTGTAAGTCCAGACCTACTCAAGATCAGGTGGTGTAGTGGTAACACCCTCACTATATATGAAGACCCTGGGTTCAATTCCCAGTCTAGCCATTCACTTTCTACATTTTAACATATCAGCTGTACATAGTCTCTTTAAAGTATGTACCATATTGCTAAGTATAAGCTTCTTCAATTTTGTATAGTCCAATGGGACTTTGTATGCTTTATCTTTCCTATGATTGGACAGAGCATGATACAATTCAAAACCCACAAAACCACTGGATGTGGTTGCAGGCCAGAACCATATAGAACATGTGTCTGATCAACCAATCTAAAATCCCATTCACATCTCTAAATTTACTGGAATTAGAAAATGATATAGTATCTGTAAGATATTGAGTTAAACTCTCTTTTGTTCCAGCTGCTCACTACATACATACATAGTTTATGTTAGGACCCATACATACATACACATCCTTACCTTCAGCTTTAACTTCACAACTGATATCAACCCTCAATCTCAGCACCAACTCAGAACCTGAACCTCATCCCTTATGAAGTTTGGTCAACACTCCCTTTGGTCCCTATGCAATAATGTCAGGATGTATCTTCAGCACCCAACATTGATCCCTGTTAGGATCCTTGTCATTTTGGAACCCCCACAACCTGTTTTGGACTCAAAAACCCTCCATTGTCCCACTATCAGTACCCCTGCTCATGGTAGCACTGCTTGTAGTGCTGTTAAGTTGCATGCCATGAGGTTGGAAGTTCAATGGAGTCTGAATAGAAGGATGTGGCTTCAGCTTGTGTGCTACACCCTTGCAAAGTTACCATCAGTTGTCCTTAAATTTTGAACATGTGAGAACTTATGTATATACAGATTTCCAGCATCTTGCAGTACTAATGAGGAGACAAGGAAAGTACCCAAAGTAGAACAAGAGTATAACTAAATCAGGAATACAACATGTACAGCTTTCCGATACTTGGAGAATACAAACTAGGATGAAGGACATATGGGGCATACTAATCAGGACATAAGGAAATGGCCTAAAAAGGAGATTCGGTATCTGATGGCTATCCAAGAATGTGGGCAATGTCAGGTGACTAAGAGGTTCTACGACATTCTGAGCATGGGTTGTAACAGGTGCCCCTGATACTTGTTTTGTTGTATCGTAGCATCTTTGCTTTCCATCCCATCTCCATTCTGTTTGCTCCCCTGTCACCATTCACATATATATCCCTTTGCCACCTCACACTTTTTAGTGTACTTTGCTATATTGTATTTAGTCTCACTTGCATCCCTATTTCCTTCCCTTACTTCCTTTTGACCTGTCATCACTCTCACTTCTCTGATCAGCCCTCCGATCATCCATCTCCCTTTAGTATAAAGTTCTTTGAGCATGTGGAGAACAAAGAGAGTTTAACTCAATTGTGGCTCATCTAACAGATACTATACTATTTTCTAATTCCAGAAAATCCAAGGATATGAATGAGATTTTAAATTGATTGATCAGGCACATGTTCTGTGATGTTACAATATATGTATATCCTACAACTACATTCAACAGTTTTGTGGGTTTTGAATTGTATTATGCTCTGTCCAATTACAGGAAAGGTGAAGTGGTATAAAATCCCACTAGACTACCCAAAATTGAAGGAGTTTATATTTAGCAATATGGCAGATGCTTAAAAGATACTACATATGTACACCTGATCACCCTTGACCAACCTTTTGGATCCTTAAACAATTTCAACTCTTATACATAAGGACCCAAACTTGCTCCAAGCCAATAGGAAATATCAAAGAAATGGCAGGAGTCAGAATACATTGCATATAATTTGATTCCTCAAGGCCGCGTAAACATGTATTGATTTACTCTATTTGTCTCTGTCCATGTTTGGATGAGCGAACCCCCAGCGGAAGTGAATCTGGGGGGCCGCAGTCTCCATTGCACAAAACATGTTGATCGGGACATGTGCGAACTCCAACAGCATCCCAAACTAATAGTAAATACATGACAAATCAATCTATGTAAACTATGCGTTTTAGGGCAATAAAGGAGCAGGAAAGGGTGGGATGGCGGGGAAAAGAAAATTACTCAAGGGAAGGCTGAGCAATACCTTGACGGCCGGCCACTCAGAAGATGGTGGCAAGAGATAAAGGTGGCAGGAGCTGACTCCACAATGGCAGAGCTTAAAAGGGGAAACACTCCTATTACAAAGAACACGGACTAATGAAATTAGTCCGTTCCACCTTTGCCCCACTCACATGTCGTCTGTTTGCATTATATAGGCACCACACTATGCATCTTACGTCTATTGAATCACGACTGGTCCAGAAACAATTATTAAATATGATGCTATAGAAAATGTATGAGATTGCGAAGAGTGAGATTTAGAGTGGAAATATATAGACGATTGTTTCTACTACCAGTCTACTATGTCTATCGCAAGTTCCCGGGAAATAATGATGATGTATGATAATAATGAGCCTGGAAGGTAGTTGTAATGAAATATCTGAGGAGTAGAATCTAGAGATTCAAAGATAACCGAAAGAGATACGAGGAAGCAAAAAGAAAAAAAAAAAAGAGGGGAAAAAAAGTCATCTACGCCGCCCCTTCCCCACTCCACACAACCTTCACGAGTTTCACACCCTCTGAACCTTCAGCCATTAATATCGCTGGAGTCTCCCCGGATTTCTGGGTATCTTTCTTCGGAACATATTTCTTAAATAAACGACATTGTTTCTTCCCATGTCTGTCGGAAGACGACTCCCTCGAAAACAAACTCAAACACACCCCATCTCCAGGCTGGCCTCCACTGCCAAAGGAATACGGAACACTCGGGCACATCCACCTCAAAGGCGACTCATGTGTCAACGAATGTCTCATCACCTCCGCCTTCCTTGCGCTCATATAATCACATCTCACACCATTCACTCTATGCGCGCATTGCCACGGTCTTCCGTTCACCTTTACGGGCCCCGCGACGGTGTACGTTGTGATATTTTGTTGCAAGAATTGGCTTTTAATCTCTAGAAATTCGTGGCGGGTCAATGCGAGTACGGAGCGGCGGCTGTGGCCGGAGGAGGTAGTGCCCGAGGGTGTGGTGGTGAGCTTCGTTTCAATGTCGTCCTCCGAGTCGGTGCTGGAAGTGTCCTCCGGACGAGAAGTGTCGGCTGACGTTACATCCGCGGTGTAGGGAGTGGGGGCATTTATGGTGTGGTGAGTGGTAGCATTTGTGTCAGGAGTGGGAGGACTTGTGGTGCGAGGAATGGCGAGGCTGTGTTGATTTGTGATGTGGGGAGAATTCGCATTTGTGGTTTTGTCTGTAGTTTGAAGAATAGTAGCACTTGGAACGCCACGTCTGCGACAAGACACGGGGGTAATCTGGGTTTTAATGATGGCTTTGCGTTGGCCGGCAATTTTGTGGGTGTGTCCCGGTTTAATGTGGTGACCGGTTGAGAACGAGTCTTCACCATCGTCACAAGTTAACCTTTTAGAAGTGATGACAGTGTTTGAATCTTTTGATCTAGTCCCTGATGGTTTCGGGGATGACAATTTTGATTTATCGCGTGGTGATGGTGGGTATGCAGGACGACCACCGACGCTCTGAGAAGAAGCTACGGGAGATTTCAACGACGCAGAGGTTGGACACGCAGTAACTCGACATGGAATGGGTGAGCCCACCAGGGGAACTTCCGGAAGCGGGGAGTGTTCCGATGCAGGAGATTGAAAGGGAGGCGCGAAGGTTGTTTTCTCGAAGAATGAATCGATCTGAGAGTGGTGACCTAGCGTCCACATGGGATCCTCAGATCCAGACTTCAAAAGGATACACATAATCAAAAGAAAATTAATGCTGAACACAATGCAAAAACACACCATGAGATGATCAAAAAGCCACATTTTTGGATCCGTCCACCAATCCTCCTCCTCTTCAGGATTTTTAAATGTTCTCGGCGAAAAATCAGTCCCAGTAGGAACAGTTGGGATTAAGAACGGAGCTTTACATGGAGAGAGGAAAAATTTAGAAGAGCGGCGGAAGCACTCATTTTGTTGCGCCCATACTTCCACGGTGTCATTCTCGAATGGGAGAGGTATAGCGAGTGCGGAGGGGCCCGCACCAGTACCGAAAGATATTGAGTGGTCCAAATAGTAGTGCCCTTTAGGTTGGTATGTAGAAGAGTTATTAGTTTCCACAGGAAATTGAATATTACTCATAGTTTCAACCTAACTTGAGTGGGAGACGGTGGGTTATTGTTACTAGTGGAGAAGTGCTAGAAGGAATGCTAGGAATCTAAAGCTTTATAACTATATTACCCGGCAAAGCAAAGCTCCCCCGCAATGGTTGTGAAGGGATGCGCATTGATGCTGAAAACAATGCGCTTTGAATGCATCAAAACAAAGTTTAGTTCGATCGGTGGCCTGTAGCCTGCTAGTTATAATTAGTGGATTTATAAGCACAAAGCGTGGCCCAAAATTTGTTCTCTTCAATGGTCACGGGCACAATTGCATTCTGAAAGAGTTGCATAGCGGCACCGACGGCATTACCACAATTTCCAAACTTCTTACAAAACTTTTGACTTGTCCTCTTCCTACTGCTTCTCAGTACTCTAAGTGCAGTGTTTCCTACCATAATTCCGGGTGAAAATGTCCTCGTAATAGGTGCATCAGAATTTATAGCAGCCTGAGTTGTAAACTCTCGAACAAGGATTTGAGGGACAGTGCGCTCGGAGGATAAAGGAGAATATCTTTTATGGAGTATTCTGATCATTCGCGTTGAATATATTGTTGTGGAGGATATTGCTAAGGATATATGTGTGTGGGTAGATTTGTGAGTTTTCGGCTTCAGAGACGGCTCGACCGTGATGGTACCATTGAGTGCCGATGGAGGGGGTTTAAGGGCTATCACATCTCATTTGATGTCATCTTTACGTTCTTTAACTAAATCCTATGCTGTTATGTCCGTGACAATGATTATCAGTAGTCTCCGAAGGAGAGAAAGTAGGGGTTGTTAAATGGATATCCCGTTCAGCTGGTTCTTACTAGCTCTTTAGGAGAAGGGCAGGTTCCTCACTCGTCCCCTCAACCTCAGACTCTTTCGTATAAAGT